GACGTAATTTGATTTTAAATTAATTGAATTTAAAGTAACTTATTATTTTACAATGTTAAATGTTAAAACTTTATCGCAACTTTAGAGTTATCATTTTAGTAAAACTTGCTTATTTTATTTTTTCATTTACTATATTAATTTTTTGGAGGGTTTTAAGGTTACTACATACTTTATTTAATTGGTTTTTATTTTAAAAAGTAACATGTTTACATACTTAACTGGCACATTCAATTGCACACCTCTAGTTTAATAAATAAAATATAGTTTAATAGGTTTCTTATGGATTAGAGGCTTATCCTTTGCCTATGTGCATCCATCGATTTGGCATTCATTTGCACCTTCGAAATTCCTTATGAATTTAACCTTGACACCTCTAAATTCAACAAACTCCAACACTTAACCCTCCCAATTTTTTTGAAGAACCCAAATCAGTATCAGATTCATTGTTGGAAAAGACATCTTTTATAGCATAAAACTCAAATTCTAACATGGGTTTAACATTTCTTTCTAGCTAATTTTCTCCTTCTATGGTAATTACTCCATCTCCAATCCAAATAATTTCTCAATTTTGTTCACAAGACCACCAATTAGCATATTCTAAATCTCAACCAAAACTCAAATTTTAGAACAAAGTGCATCCAAAACATTGCAACTCTGTTGTCAACAATAGAAAGATGAGAATGAGAATGAAGATCAAGATTCATAGTCACATTAGATCCAACAACTGGATCTAATAAAAAAACATTGAAAATTTGAAAATTTTCATATCTAAAAGAACAATTTTAAGAATGATGAATGTAGTGTACTATAGTCAAAACACTGCCTTTAAGACCCAACTCAAGCGCACTGAGAACTATCCTGAGTACATCTTCTACAATGGTCCTCCCTTCGCCATCGACCCTTCACACTACAGTCACATCGTCACATGCACCACCAAGGACAATGTCACTCAATACTAGACCATAATTGGCCACCAAATGGAACAAGAACACCCCAAGAAGATTTCAAAATCACCCTCCAAAATTTTCATTGAAACCCATGATTTCTTTTCCTAATCCACTCAGTAAAAATAAAAAATTTGAAAAAAAAAATGGTACGATGTGTAATCTATCTTTTCGTTGGTGGAATAAGAGGAAATTGCTTATGCCTCTCACCCATATAATGCAAAGACAAGGAAACGACGATCTTTCGAAAAGGATGATATAGAAGTAAAGCAGAAGAGTTTTGAGTGTTCTTGTTGGTGTCTATTTAGAAACATGAATAGACAATATCTGAATGAATAGATGGAAGGATAAGTGTATTCACATCATCATATTCCTAAACTAACCTATTCATATATTTTTACAATAAGTGTTCCACTTGTTGTTGAACCGGCATGTAAATCAATCACCACCTTTTTATCTCAATCTTTTTTATTTAGCAAATACAACTAATAGGTATTAATCAGCAAAATCTTAAAGAAATAATATATTCTACATTGAACATAATTAAGGTTACAATCATTTCTATTTTTTTGAACTTTAAAATAATAAATAAATATTGAGAGTTCAAAAAATCAAGACGTTCTAACTCTTAGCTGTAAGTTTGAGTGAGCATTCATACATTTGGCCCCCCCTCATGCTTCATCCTGGCTCCACCACCGTTTATATGGCTCTGTATTCTTTTTATGTGGTTGCTCACTCTGCTTCATGATAAAAGGGAGCTGCTGGTGGTTGTTACATGCCCCTCTCTGAATCATGTTATTGTAGAGAACTGCTAGTTTCCTCAAAGGTGAGTCTGGTGCTAAGCATGAACCTGAAAGGAGGAAAACACAAAGTAGGAAGAAGCCAATGCCCAAAGCAAGAATGGGGAAGCAAAACACAAAAAATTGAAGCTGGTGAGTGCTGACCATGACTTCCAAGAAAGGTGACTTGATGCTGATATAAGAAAAGTCCAACCGTGTGATGACATGTCTAATAGGGCCTACACACGTGTAGCTTATCCCATTTCTTGATCTTGCATAGCCCGTGTACCAAAATCTGATGCCAGCACCACAATCTTACAACAGATATAAATACAAAGGTTTTAATTTGTTTTGTTCTATTTTCTGAAAACTTCTTTCTTCTTAAATTTTCCTTGCGTCCTAATACCCAAATCAATATATCAAGGGTCCCATTTCCACCCAATTTTCCAAAACATTTTTTCTTTTATGAAGAAATGGACAGATACATTGCTCTTGGAGAAAGCATTTCTAGATTTTGGCATTGAATTGGGCATGCAGTCCTTTACAATGAATATGTTCTTGAAATTAGTCCCACTACTTGCCACGGGATGAGCTCTGGTGCCTCAAATCAATCATACATTGAAAGGTTAATGTGCTTGTAAGTAGTTATACAAATCTTAGACCTATTACAAAAATATAAAAACAGTTGAATTCAAGTTATATGATTAAAGAGTTGTTAAAATCAATAAAAGTTTAGGTGCAGTTCTTGACATGAATAAACGCTTTGAAAAGTTAATATGATTGTAAACAGTATATACCAATATGAGACCTATTACAAAAGTACAAAAATAATTGAATTCAAATTTTATGATTGAAGAGTTATTAAATCAAAAAAAATTCGCACATGACCTTTTAGGTTAACTGGTATCCTGCCAGCTTAAAGTCCATTCCTTCTCCCTCATGGGTGGGTTTTAAACCCGTCCCTTGACAATTTGTTCAAAAAACAAGAAAAGAAAAATTCAACTGCAATTCTTGACAAAAACAAACACTTTGAAAAATTATACGATTGTAGGTAATAAATACAAATTTCAAACCTATTACAAAAATATAAAGATTACTGAATTTGACCTTTATAATTTAAGAGTTATTAAATTAATAAAAATTTAGCCACAATTCTTGACATAAGTTAGTGCTTTGTGAATGTAAATAGTATATACAAATCTTAGATTTATATAAAAATAAAAAAATAATTAAATTCAAGTTTTATAATTAAAGAATTGTTAAATGAATAAAAATTCAGCTGCAGTTCTTGACATGAAATAATGCTTTCCCTGGTAAAAAAACGACACTACGATCATGTCTCTGTTTCTCTTCTTTGGGGTTAGGTATAAGAGGAAAATGTTGCCTTTGAGTTGCATAGGCGTTCAAGAAATGTGTAGTGGGTACTGGTTATCACAACTGACACTATATCAATATTTCGCTTTTCTTCAGTCACCCCCCTCCCCCCTTTTTTTTTAAAAAAATTTCAGAATGGTAAGTGGCTTTTAGATATTAAAAAAGGAAAAATATCTTTGGTGGTGGAGTTGTCCAGTGCGGACAACATCAATAATTTTACATTCCATTCTGTTGCTTGAAACCAATGAGATGAATTCATGATATATATGGCTTTGTTCATTTCATTTGTCTGTAAAGGTAGATACAAAGGGATCACATCAAAATTAGGCAGTCATCCAATATGAATTTATGGGATAAGAAGAAATAAAAAGCAAGTTGAAACAAATCAGGTACTGTCAAATTAAGCCCCTCTATCATTGGAGGCCTTTCCCATTTCCCCCAACAGTTACATCTGAGCTGCCTCTCATACGTTGAATGCCAAACGCACAAGCTAACCCTGGACAAATCATAAGGACTCTATTTGCCTAGATCTCTCTAGAATCTAGATATTTGAGGTTGATTTGTGGGTAAAAAAATTGATAGGCCTACCAATTTATCTGCAAAAGTTGACACCCAACGCCACTTTTTCTTGATCAGCCGCCTAGAGCTCTCTTTTAGTTTGGCACTCATGAAACGGACCATTGAGGTAGCTTCCTGATTCAATAAAGTGATACTCAATGATTCTTTTAGATTGTGTGAAGAGCAATTTGGGAGCAATATCAGTTTTTATTAAAGTATCAATTCCCTTTGGGACGACAATTAGATCACTTTTTTTATATTATAAATTAGGTCACCTTTGGTTTAATAAAACAAGGAATTGATTAAATGGTTTGTTTCATGAAAATAAGAAAATGAATAGAGAGGATAGGGTAAATTTTGTATTGGCTTAGAGTTAAAAGAAAAAGGGCTTATTTAGAGTCAAATTTGATATGTAAATTTTGTATGATTAATTTTTTTAGTATTATAATTAATTATCTGAAAAAATTCAATTTAAATTGATATTTTATTTTGCCGAATTTAAATTACAAAATATTTATTTATAAGGATAAATATACTATATAGTTAAACAAAAACATCTAGCACTTCGGGGTTTACTGACCCCTCCTTGCAGGATGTGTTTAAGATTATTAAAACTTAAGTTTTAATCTCAAGTCCTTTTTCCTTTTTCCTTTTTCCTTTTTCCTTGAAAAAATTTCTCATTGTTCAATATATATATATATAGTTAAACAAAATCAAAAGGTACAATTAAGAATAGTGGTTTAAAAGAAATCTAATATTTGATTATTTTAAAAAGATGGCATGTGGAAGAGTAAAGGCAAATCCCACAAAAACCAAGGGAATTTGAAATGAAGAAGCAACACACAAAGTTACAACTGTAGTAGGTCTGTATGAAGTGTGGCCATCATTGTCATCACACCTCACATGAAAACCCAACTGAGAGAACTCTTACATAAGAACTTACAAATGCCAACCTTTATACACACTTTGGAAATGTATCTAAATCGTATGTTACTTCCTGTATTGATTAATTAAGGCTTGTGTTTGGGGCACTGATAGCACTTGGTGAACAGACCAAATGAATCAACTTGGTGGATGAAATTGAGCATGCTTGCCCATCCTCCAAAACCAAATCCCACAACGAAAACCCATACCACCACAAAGGCATTCATGGAGTACATCCCTGCCCAACCTCCTAGAAAAGATGGTGGTCTTTCCACTGCATTCTGTAAAATTAATCCAAAAGTTGACACTTAAGATCCTGTGTCCTAATTACAGCCAATTAAAGATCAAGAGAATGATGCTGATGATTGAATAAGGCTAACCTCTCGGGCTACTGCTGGGGCAAAAGTTACCATGTGTGCTAATGCAGGAATTATGTATACCGTGAAGCTGACAAGGAGAGATCCTACAGTAGAGTTGATAGGGCCAAAGAAAGGAAAGATGATAGCTAGGAACCAGATTGGAATCACCACTGGGAGTCTGACCAGTGCTCTCATGAACACACTCTTTGTTTCATGTACCCCAATGCATTTCTCCCACACAAAATACAGAGGAGTGCAGGCAAATCCAAATGTTATGAACTGCAAACAACAATCAAAAACAATCATTTCATACAAGTTAACTTAATCCACACCTTATGTTTGCCAACTCGAATTTAATGGATCTTTCATTACTACTAGACCCGTGTTAATGAAAATTATCAGAATATAAAGAAACCTGATGAATTAGCATGAGGATGACAGCAGTATCTCGGAATCCAGTCCTTGGCAGCAATGACAAGGCATTGGCATGGGTGAGAAGCAAATCTCCAAAAGCCCAATAAACAGCAGAAGCTGATGGTAAAGTAAGGGTCAAGACATAAAGTGTTGCAATCAAGTATATTAGCTTGAACTTTTGGGGCTTCCACATTGCATGCATAATCTCCCTATAATTTAGATCCACACCGATTGTTAATCAATATGCACACAGGCATCCATAATGAGTATGCTTTTAGTTAAGTATTGGTTTCTCACACTGTCACAGCATGGCCACCAAAGGTGTAGAGAATGTTGGTAGCTCCAGTGAAGTACAGAACTAAGGTGGTTGGTCCTGAGTGCTTTACTCCCTCAACCTTCAAAATATTTAGACAAACCTTTTTATGATATGGATGGCAAAATGAACATGCTAGGTTGAATTGATTCAGTAATTTTGTAACATGTAATGTACCTGTCCATGGACAAGTGAAGCAATGGTGAGATACCATGCAGTGTAAGAAGTCATCATAAGGCCCAAAAATGACCAGATTCTGTAGTTATGGAATGAAGGTATGAACACAGTTGTGGCACAGCAGGCACCGAAGATATACGTCCAAGTTCTCTTGTCGAGATTGTCGTTTATGTAGTAGATGTTGCTGGTAGAAATTAATGGGCAAAAAGAACAATTAAAACATGATAATTAACATTAGCCATGGAAGATGGAAATGGAACAGACAAAACATCAAACAGAGAGAGCTATTTGATGACAGTTACCTTGCACAGGCAATTAACTGAATCACAGATCCAAAGAGAAGGAAAGTACAGTTGAAAAAGAGTCCAACATTCCTCCAATGTTTCCCCAACAACCCATCAAGGACTTCAAACCACTGCCAGGAATTGAGTCAGGAAACTGGAAAAAAACAAAAATCTACATGTAAAAGAGTAGAATGTAAGTGGTATATACCTGAATTACATGATTCCTGAAGTCAACCTTTTCTCTTTCCTTCCTTGTTCTGTACTCAACATAAAGCACACTGATGAGGTAAGCAGTCCAGCTTCCCATCAATCCATAAAACAGTTGAAATATGATTCCAGATATCATTCCCAGTTGTGAGAATGAATATGGCAGTGTAAGTAGCACTTGGGCAACCTGCAAAATGTTCAGGAAAACAAAATTAAAAACCCTGAAATATTGTTAAAAAAAGAAATGGCTGTGGAAGGAAGAAAAGAGTTGTGCCTGATTAGAAGCACAGCTAAACCATGCATCATAGACCGAGCCTCCATGCCAAAACAGCTTTGAGAATTTACTCTTAGCAGAATTAGAATCCCCCTCTCCTCTTTCCATTTCTAAATAATTTCCAGCAATAACAGTTTCAACCTTTTCAGAAGCCATTTGTATGAATGTTGGGGTAGCCAACTGACTAATTTCAAGTCTATAAATAGATGAACAAGGTGGCTGCTTCTTTCTATCTGCTTGTTTAGGCTGCTTCCCATTTCTTTCACCTTTAAAATTTCTTTAAGCAATAATTAGGTCAGCCTAGTGGGGACCATTGCTAGGTCCCCCTCCAAGAAACCTGTGTACTGACCATGTGATTGTTGACTAGTGGTCTTCACTCTTTTACATTCTAGAATATATAATATAATAAGTTAACGATAATTTAATATTTTATTTATAATCAAAATATACTTAATTATAAAAGTCTTTATCATTGATAATAAAATCTATTTAATATTATCTGCTTATACCTCAAAATTTTATTAGTTTGTTGTGATAACATACATAACCATAATACATTAGATTTAGAAATTTTGATCCACATACTAGATTATCTATAGACGGAAACAGGACTCAAAGGCCAAAATACTTTTTCTTATGACTTTAACTTTCATTGGAGGGTGATGTATCTATATCCCCTAGAGGTGAGGGTCTCATTTCCCACGCTCTGTTTTTATGGGCTTTATGGGCCCATGCTCTCATGTAGTACACGGGCGGGGTGGCCTACTAGGGTGGTCCATTTTGATGCAAGAAAAAGCCCAGCACATATTGATTGATCTTGAAAAAGTGGTGGTTCTTGAGTGCATTATGTTTTGCGTAAGATGGGAAGCATAATTACTTAACGTGAGCTTGGTGCTAATCATAATTAGTACCACACGTGTGCCAACTGGCCTAATAAAAAGTTGTTTCACACCCTTTTTTTCTTTTACATAATGTGGTAGGTCTTTTAAGACTAACCATTGATTAGACTAGATTAGATGATAATTAATTCCCTAGTGGTAACTTCAACTTTCTTCTTCTACTACTTAACCTTTTTTTTTCTCCATCTTTTTCAACCTCGTCATACCATGAATATAGACCAATAATAACACCTATATGGGGTCACTGTTATTATATGGTTTGTTCGCATATGACAGAAATAATACTTTAGCCGAGTTGATACTTACATTATGTCTGCTCTAGTGCTTCCACTATAGTTTCTAGTTGAAAGAATAGTATGGTTGTTTTCTAAAATGTGCGCATATCTCTGCCCACGTTACATGTGAAAAGCTTAGTGGGGACCAAATGACTGCCTAAAGATAAAATGTTAGTGCAATATTACCCCACTTTGACTACGTACTCATACATCAATTTTATCTTCTCTACTTTGCAAATTGATCATCCCTTGATATTCAATCTTCTTCCTTTTTCCTTTTTTTTTTTTGGAATTGGATGAAGAGAGAAATCACATCAACGTTATCATCATCAATTCATCATCATGCATAAAAACTTGACCTTGAATTAAAGGCCAAACAGCAACCCTTCATGGGCTGGCCACCAATCAGCAAATTCATTTGCAGGCTCACCCGATTAGCCCAATTGGATTTGGAGACAACCCAGTAAAAGAGAAACCGGAAAATAGAGGCGGCTCAGATATCTATGCAATCAAGTTTCTCCCGACCATATTAAAGACTATTATGACGTGGCTTTAAAAAAAAAATAGTTAAGGTATTTGAAAATAAAAAATGTTATAAGTATAATATATTAGATAATATTATAAATTTATCACATAATGTATCACTATA